CGCGAGCAGGGGAAGGCACCCAGGGGCCTGGCTCGCCGCCCAAAGCCTTGGGGGTAGGGCAGCGCAGGCTCACAGGATGGAATGGTTCCAGAAGACACAGATGGGCTTGGTGCGCTCCTCCGTCTCCAACAGCCGGAACTGCACCGTGACCGGCTTGTCCAAGGCTCGGGGCAGAAACTCCTCGTCGTCATGGACGCTGATGCTCACCACGGGCGTGTTGATGACTGGCCGTTTGGGGACTCTGACGAGGAACAGGCAGGCGCACGGTCACTGTGGCGGTCTCGTGGCTGAGGGGACAGCTTCCCTCGGGGATACCCCCACCCCGGCCTCTCCCCAGGCCCCAGCGCTCACCCGCCCACCGTGCATCCCCGCCCCCTCCTCGTCTCCGCGGCTGCCCACCTGAGGCTGCGCTTGTCCGGGTCATAGTTATGGGGCAGCAGGCCGGCCAGAGTGCGGTAGATGATGACACTGGCCACAGCCTCCCCGTGGCTCAGCTCTGGGTGCCGCCGCTGACGCCGCGCCAGCTCCTCAGGCTCCTGGGCCTCTCCAGGGCCCGCGGGCCGGACCACGGTGGGCGTCTCTGGGATCGGGACAGTGTCCACTCAGCGGGGCCCGGCACAGGGATGCCCCAGCCAGGCCCCTGGCCCACCCTGTAGCTCCACACTGACCTCGAAAGACAGAATCAGGCAGAATGACCGCTGTCTCAAGGTCTGGGGGCCGCTCCCCCCGCAGCGCCTCATAGCGGGGCAGCTTGGCCCCGGCAAAGCTCCCCTTGTCCAAGCGAACCACAGAGATGACTAGGGAGAGGGTCACAGGTCGGAGCCGGGCTCAGGCGGGGGGCCCCCAGCACCGCCACCCGTGCCCGGGGTTCCGTCCACGGGCCCCGCCCTGCGCCAGTCTCACCAATGTTGGGCGTGACGATGGTGAAGGGGTTCAGGTAGGTGTGCCGCATGTTCTGAGCCAGGGCGCTGGCGTAGGCCTCGTAGTGCTGCAGCAGCCAGGCGGTGCCGCCCTCCGTCTGCTGGATCAGCTCCCAGTGCCGCTTGTTGGCCGCGTCCAGGAGGGCGCTGCCCACCCGCAGCAGGTTCTAGGGTGAGCGCGGTCAGGGTGCTGTAGCCCCACGCCTTCTCCTCCCCCCCACCAGGCCGCACCTGCGCCTAGACCAGCCCGGGCTGCCCACCCAGCCGCACCCCTCCCTCAAACCTTCCCTCCTCCTCCCGCAACTGACGGTTCCCGGGCCCTGGGCCTGGACCCCTGCACAGGTACTAGACGCTGATTCCTCCCCACCCTGGCACCGTGGGCAGGGGGCCTCTGCTCCGAGGAGCTCGGTCACACCAGGCCCCAACACAGACGTTAGTTTCTATCAGCACCTTACTAGGGAAAGGGCTGGAAAGAGATGCTCTAAATTCCACGGCTCAAGGGAGCTCCTGGAGGCCTCACGCCAGCTGGGAGGTCCCTCCCCGAAGGCAGGGATGGCCCCCAAGTTGCCCCAGGAACAGGCTCACTCACCATGACCCCCACCTAACCAGCCAGCCCTGCCCCAGCCAAGCCCCACCTCGGTGAAGTGCACATCCTGCGTGGCCGACAGCCCAAAGCCCCGCTGGGCGCTCTCGTGGGCCAGCAGCCGTGTGGCCAGCTGGTAGGCCACCTTGACGTCGCTGCCGAAGTAGCCAGCCGTGTGCTGCGTGGCATTGCGCAGAAGCAGGGCCAGTCGCTGGGAGCGCCCCGAGTCCAGACCCGACTCGTTCCGCTGCAGCCGCTCGGCCTAGGATGGAGCCAGACAGGACAGGGAGCAAGGGAGGTCAGCACAGGAGGGCAGCAGTGAGGTCCCCAGGGGCAGAGCTGGAACTCAGGAAGGAAAGGGCCTCAGGAAAGGGGAGAAATGGCCACTCCAGGTGGAGGCCCCAGGAGACAGGGGCTGGAATTCCAGAAGCCCCTTTCTCAAAGCTGGCCGCAGGGAGGGGAGAGAGGAGCTAGACATGAGGAAGTTCACTTACAAAGCCCTTCAGCTCTGAGAAGGTGACTGATGTGCAGTTGAAAAGGTTTGGGGGGAGCCACCCCCTGTGCTCATCACAGTGACGCACGGCGGTGCCTGGGGGAAGGAAGCCCAGAGGACAGGCCTCAGGAGAGACACAGGAGGCCTCCGGGACCTGCCTGAGTTCCTGGGGGCCAGCACCTCATGGGCCAGAGACAGGAGACGAGCAAACAAGGGCCCTGCCCTCCTGGAGCCCCGGTTAGAAGAGGAGGACAGGTGTAGAGAACACTAGAGCCAAGACCTCTGCCAGACCGGCCCGAACGAGGACTCCAGGAGCACGGGGCGTGCGTCCTCCTCGAGCCCCCAGACATCGCTGCCCCTCTGCAGCCACCACTTTGGGCTCTCTGCCACTCTCTGCTTATGAACTGTGTTTGTCATCGATCCAAGGACCAGCACCAGCCCCCATCCCGGGGCCGTGTCCCCTGGAATAGCACCCGACAGCCCCTACTGTGTGATTCGTCTTCGAATCTCTAGTACACAGCCCCGTGGCAGGCACGCTGCAGGTTTGTCAGCATTTTTGATAAGAGTTCAAGATGTAGGTGCCCTTCATCCAGGCAACCTTGGGAGCAGAGGAACAGTGCACCAAGGAAGGACCTGGAGACCAGGGAGCGGTCCCAGGATTTGCAGCCAGGGGCTTCCCGCCCTCATCCCAGGGAGGAGAGGCTGAGTCCACAGTATCACATGCTAGGCTTCCAGCACCTACCAAAGGAGCCTTTGGGGCAGGGGGCAGCAGCAGGCAGCCCAAAGCGGGTACGGGGCCACCAGATCCCAGCGTCGATGGCCCGTGGGCAGCTGTCATAATTCACTGCAAGGAAGCACACAGGGTCACCCGGGGGCAGCTGTCCCCTCGGAGCTCGGCTTGGGCTTCCAGCCCTCCCTCAGCAGCCCCGGGCCCGCAACCGGCCCCTGCTCCTGGTCCCTCTGGAACGCCGGGACCTGGCACGCGGCAGGAGAGCCGCCGACCCGTCATGGGAACCCCACCTTCACAGCCATTGGTGGTGACCTCAGCAAACGGGTTGTCACAGCGGTCACACTGGCGCCCAATGACGCCTGGCTTGCATGGACACTGGCCGTCCTCAGAGTCACAGACGCGGGACAAAGAGCCCGTGGGGTAGCAGTCACAGAGGAGGCAGGTGGGGCTGCCAGGGGGCCGGTAGTGGTTCTCCTGAAAGGGGGGACAGACGACGAGGGTCACTGGCTCAGGCTCTCTCTCTCCGGGACGCTCAGGGGTCCTTTGGGCTGTGGTCCCTCTAGAGAGAGGCTCACTGACTTCAGGTCCTCCCAGGAGTGGTATTCAAACTATTTAGGGGCACCAGGGTGGCTCAGTCGTTAAGCCTCTGCCTTTGGCTCGGGTCACAATCCCAGGGTCCTGGGATTGAGTCCCGCATCGGGCTCCCTGCTCTGCGGGGAGCCTGCTCCTCCCTCTGCCCCTCCCCCACTCCTGCGCATGCACGCTCGCTCTCTCACAAAATAAATAAAATCTTAAAAAAAACATATTTAACTGGTAATGATTTGCAGTCCAGTCCATCAGTGAGACACCAACCATCAGAGCGGGCTGCAACCAACCAGTATAGCTGGCCTAGAGCTCACTGGTAAAGACCTGGTCCTGGGGCCCCCCAAACCGCAGCCACGTGGCAGCACGTGGCCACTGGTCCCCCTCCCCCCATCAGAGCAAGGGCACACAGCCCTGAGCTCTCTGCAGGAAGGCTTTCCCCAGCGCCCCCCCTCAAGGGCCCGGGTCGGGGCTGTCACCTTGCAGTGGCACACGCCGCTCGTCTTGTTGCAGTCTGGGTCGAAGCCTTTGCCGACGTCACAGTTGCACGGGCCGCACGTGGGGTGTCCCCACCAGCCACGGGGGCAAGGCTGGTCAATCCTGCAGAGAGGGGCCCAGGCGGACGTGAGCTCCCTCCGCCACACCCCGTCTGCTGCAGCCATGTGCAGCCCAGTTCCCGGTACTCTGAGGGACACCCCAGAGACAGGCTGCTGCGTGCCCTGGTCCACTTACCTGGTCTCACAATATGGCCCAAGGTAATTCTGGGGACACTCGCAGGTGTAGCCGTGGGGGGCGCTGGGCTTTCGGATACACACAGACTGATGCTCACACGGGTTCAGGTCACACACGTTAGTACAGTTGTCACCATAGTAACCTGGGACCGTAAAGATGAGAGAGGCTCGATCCCCACCTTGCCCTGGCACTTTCTTTAAACCTGCCTTCACGCCACCTCCTTCCACCTGAGAATCCTACCAGCTGGCTACGGCTTTGTGGTGCAGGAGAGGAGGCTCAGAGAGGTCATGTGACTGGCCTCAGGCCACACAGCAGAGCCGAAGTGAGACCCCGGCGCCCACCCACCTGCCCATTTCCCCGGATCCCTGGCACACCTGGGTCACAGCTGCAGGAATAGCTGTCCCAGTCATCACTGCAGTAGCTGTTGGCAGGACACGGATTCGAGTCACAGGGGTCTGGCAGGCTGCAGCCTGGCTCCACATTGATGCTTTCCCCGCGGCTGGGATCCAGACCGCTAACCCCCTCGGGCGTCTCGCTTACCCTCACACCCTGGGAGGGACAGAAGCGATGTTGGCCCTCCGTGGCGCGGGCCTCCAGGTGGGGAGGATGGCAAGGCAGAGGAGGATGCTCACCTGCAAACAGCCCCGGAAGCCGCGGGTCACACCGCCGGCTGGCCCAGGCACGCCCCCAACCGTAATGTTGCTCAGGTGCAGCCCATGCAGCCGGGGGCCTAGGTTGCCCTCTGCCCGCTGCTGCCCGTAGTCAAAGGACAGGATGGCATGGCCGGGGCCCCCAGTGGCTCCCAGTGACAGCTGTGCATGGTGCCAGTCGCCGTCATTGGCCCGGCCTGGCTCCAGCTGGAGAGACGAGGCCTGGAGCCCTGTGCCCTCCACGCTCAGCACCACGTGGCCTTCCCTCAGCTTCACCAGAAGAAAAGAAAACAGGGTCAGCAGCCTGCCTTCATCGGCTCTTCCAGCCCACTGCCCTCCCGCCTGGACCACCAAACCCATCCTACAGCCCCGCTGAGGCCACAGAGGAAACGGTATTATTTCCCTCGGGGCCAATAGATGGCAGCAGTGATCCAACAAGCCGACGGAGCCTCAGGGAAAGAAAAGACCCCGCCTAGCCCTCTCTGACCAGCCCCCTGGAGGCCACAGCTGCCCTGGTCAGGGCCCGCCTACCCGCCCCCCCCTCCCTGCATCACCTGCAGGGTGATGGTGCTGCGCCCCCTGGTGACAGCCTGCAGCAGGACACCGTTGGCCTGGCGTGTGCGGAACATGAGGCTGAGATGCCAGGGCTGGGAGATGGGCAGCGAGAGGCCGTGCCAGGCCAGCACGCTGCTGCCCAGGAAGCGCTGTGGGTTGGCCATTTCTGGGGAGGCAGATGAAGGCAGACTCTGAGGGGTGGAGTGGCCAAGTGCCCCAGGGGGTGTGATGCTCAGAGGTGGTGGTTCCACAGGAGGCAGGGCACCGCCTCTCCCAGTGCCCACTCCCCTCGCTGGCCCCGCCCTCCGGAGCATTTACCTGTCTTGCGCCCGCCCCACACTGTGCCCAGGCCTGCCTCTGACTGGGCCCTTTGTCTCCAGTGCTCCCCTCTCAGGGCTCTGCCCAGACATGCTTTTCCACCCACAGCCCAGCTTGGCTGGGCCCTGCCCAGTGCCTGCCCCGACCCTGCCAGTGTTCCCAGCATTGTTGACAGCTCTCGGGCCTTGGCCTCTGCTGGCGGCCTCTCCTACCCTGGGCACAGCTCTTGCCCCCGAAGCCCAGAGGACACTCGCAGCTGAACGCGTCCCACTGGTTCACACAGGTGCCCCCGTTGTTGCAAGTACTGCTGTCACACACGTTCTTCTTGGCAGGGCAGCCTAGAAGGGAGAGAAAGGGGCTCGGCTCGGGGCTCCAAACAGAAAACCTGCGGCTGGAGGGCCCTCTGAAACCCCCACCACGTCCCCATAGCCCTCCTTTCTGCCCGGGGCTCCTGGCCTGGCCCCTACCCCAGGCTCCCATACCAGGCACGGTGCCGTTGTTGGCGATGAAGTCAGCCATGTCCACATGCCGGCTGTCCACCTGCAGGTTCCTCATGCAGCCCACAAAGTGCCGCGTGCGGACAGGGAAGCTCTCGGGCAGGTCAGGGACCCCACCCAGCAGCAGAGGCCCTGTCAGATCCAGAGACCTGGCGGAGCAAGAATGGTGGCAACAGGAGGCACAATGGTGGGGCTTCTGGCCCTTCCTCCTTCCCTCTTCCTTCCACCAGGCCAGAGCGGGGAAGGGCCTAAGCAGGAGCCTGAGGGGCCCTGAAGAACAGCACAGGGGAAGGGAGGCACCCCAACCTGGAGCCACTCCCCTCTCATACCCACCCCTCCCCCAGACCACTCCATGACACCTACTCTAGTCCCCTCATCTTGCTGCTTCCACCCCCGACCCCAGGCCCTGCAGAAGGCTGAGCAGGAACTAGGGGAAGCAAGGTGAGGGAGGGCCTCCATCTGGATTGGTTTCCATTGCCGGGCCCCCTAAGGCCCACCTTCTCAACCTGCCCACCTGGCCCCACACCACACCGCATGCCCCAGCCCTCTCCCCCTCACTTTTTGCTGCCACCCTGGGTGCCCTGGGCAGCGCAGGAGTAGTTGCCCAGGACAGCTCCGAAGCGCAGGGCCACCCCTGTGTCACAGCCATCCACCGTCACCACAGCCACCTTCTGTTCTGATGGGCCCTGCGGGAGCCCCGTCTGCCCTAACAGTGGCTGTGGGCAGAGAAGGCAGAGAAGGGGAACCGTGAACACGGAGCCCACGAGGTCCAGGGGCCAGGCACAGAGACACCAGCACCTGCGGACACCCCTTTGTACACACGCGTGTGCATATACACACACGTGCCCATTCAGCGTGCTCACGGGACATACGTGCTTAACTGCCTTCCTCGGCATTCACCGGAGTCCGTGCCTGTCTAACAGGACACTGAGCATCGAGCACTACTCGGCGATGGCAGGGGAATAGCCCAGCCCACCCCCCCTCCCTCCCTCCCTTTAGGCCAGAAGCGCCATGACCAGTCCCCCCTGGATGAAGCGCCACCTCGGGTCTGAGCACCTGAGCCAAGGACAGAACCCTCCGACTCCCTGACCCCCTCTGACACCCACCTTATTGTAATATTTCAGCTGCACTGTGTGCCACTGGCCGTCACTGACCCCTCCGGGCACGAACGGGGACACGGTGGTGGTCGACTCCCCTGGGGAAAGGACCCAGGTGAGCTGGGACACCAGGGGAGGGCTGGGAATGGGGACGGTGTGCTCATGGTTGGAACCGGGCCCAGGTTTGGCTGGGGGAAGTGTGACTTGGGGTCGGGGGCCAAGACACCTAGGGCCTTTGGGAGATGGGCAAGGACATGGGGCAACCGGGGGGTCACCTGCAGAGAAGGTGAGCTGGACCTGCTCCTGGATCACCTCGAGGGCCACAAAGTCATGCTTCTCGTTGAAGCGCCCGTTGTATAACAGCAGTCCGTCACGCTCCTTGGTGGCAAACCTGAGCAGGAGTTGGGGGTGGGGGGCAGGGAATGGGGCACCCACCTAACCCCGACCACCCCAGCCACCTAACTAGCCCCTGATCCTACTCAGGACCCTCCTGAGAGCTGACACCGTGGCCCTTGGCTCCGTGGGCCATGGAGCTCAAGTGTGGACAATGAGCCCACACCAGAACTGAAACCAGAACCCTGACCCCTTGGCTCCCCACCCTCGAGAGTGGGTAGGAGGAGTGGTCAGTGGACCCTGGTGGGTGAGGAAGGCCTGCTGGCAAAGTGCACAGGCCACTCCAAGTGCCGACCCGGCTCTACCAACCACCTGCTCCCAGCACTTTCGCTGCCCGACCTCTCACCCTGCCTGTAGAGGGGGAGACGCCCCAGGCTCCCAGCACCCTCCCCACCCCACCCCCCAGGGCCGAGCCACTCACGAGAGGGCCAGGGTGAAGTGGAAGCGCTGACGCAGGCCACGGAATGTGAGGAAGGAGCGGGCAGGGAAGCTGCGTGTGGTCACCTGGCAGTAGGGCTTCTCGAAGTCTCCAGACGGGCAGTCGCACTTGAAGCCACCCACCAGCAGGTTGACGCAGGTGCCCCCATTCTTGCAGACACCTGGCGTGCAACGGCCTGAGCGGGCACTCACTTCGCAGTGCTCACCTTGGCAGCGGGAAAGGCAGGGTGAGTACCAAGTGCCTGAGAAGGCGGGGGGGACCTGGGATGCCTCCCCCAGGCCCAGCCGTACCTCCTGCAACACTGCCAAGTTCTCCCAAGCATCCTCACCACCATCCCATTATACTGCTGCCCTGCAAGTTCCTTGGAGCTCCCAGGCCCTTCTGTACTCCTGTTTGGGGCTCAAGCGCACAGCCTGCCGGGACCCCGGTCACAAGGCCCAGGTCCTAGTTAGCCTTTGGTGTCACGGCTACCGAGCAAGCTAGGGGCTGTTCTGTTCCCACAGGGGTGAATGTGCATGGAGGAAAGAGCCTGCAGGACAACACCAGGGCTGGCGCCAAACCCCCTTCCTCCCTCCCTCGCACTGGTGCTTTTGTCCCTGTCAGGCGCCAAGATCAGTTTCCCTCTCTGGGGATGAGACCAGGCTTCCACTTGGATTGTCAGTTATGCCTGGAGGGCAGGGGGGGTGAGGTGAAGCTGGGGACTCCCGGGAATGGGGCAGAGAACTCCCACCCTGAGCCCTGGGGTCCAGACTGAGGCCCTCTGTGCACTTGGGAGATACTGACAGAATGGGGGACTGAGCCTTGGGAGCAGACCAGGATTTCAGTGGAGGAGCTGAAAATTCCAACAACATCAGATGGGAAAATCCACCCCTTTCTCTCCCTCCCCATTCCCAGATTCTAGAGATAGGTTCTCAGCTCCTGTGCCTAGTGACTGGCTCTTGTTTCCATGGAAACTGTTGTTCGCCTACTCTAAGCCCCCCTCCCCATCCTCTTGGACAAAGACTCCCCTCCCATCCCCCAAGCCCTCCCCTCCCTTCCACCCCCACCCACAGCAGCAGCTGAGAGGAGTCAAGTCTGGCAAGTTCTGGGCAGGAAGATGCAGCAGGGAAGGCGGTGGGGTCTGCCTGCCCCTGCTGGCAGAACTAGTGGGCATGGCTGTGGAGGAGAGAGAATAAGGCCCAACCTATCTGGGAAGGAAGGGCGCATGGAGGAGAGGAGAAGGGGCTGTCCTGAGGAGAAACAGGATCCTGCAGGGGCAGGGGCACAAAGCAGAGGCAGTGAGCCTCCCAGGGAAAGGCTGGGAAGGGGATGTGTAAAGACCCAGGTCACAGGCCAACCCCGAGGCCTGACCCTTCTTCCAGCACCTGGGCAGGGGTGGAGCTATTCTGCTCAAGGTCACACAGGTGCAACGACCTTCAGAACCAACTCTACCCCGCACCCAAACCCCTCCAGTTTTTTCCATGCCTTCCCCTCCATGCCTGGGAAGAAAAGCACTACTTAGAGCGCAGAAAAGTAACTCTCTCAGTGGTGGGAGGAGACCAGGTCCCAGGTCCAGCTTCAGGGCTAAGTCAAGCTGTGAGGTGAGACGCAGAACAAGTCACCGGATCCCAGGGGTCTCTTAAATCACAGCCAACACCTTCCAAGGGCTAGCTCTTCACATGTATTAAGTTAATTAAATTAATCCTTACAACCCTGCTAGGCTGTAAGTAGATTCACTATCTCCATTTGAAACTACTGAAACTACTGAGACACAGAGAGATTCAGTAACTTGCCCACGGTCACGCAACTACTAGTGGCAAAGCTGGAATATAAACCCAAGCGGGCTGCTTCTAGAGCTGGTGCTGCCTGAGATGGGGGGAGCTCGGAGAAGAAGGGCTCCCCCCTCCTCTCTCCCCAACAGGTCGTGGAGAAGCAAGCGAGATCTGCGGGCGGCCAGGGTCACCGGCACCTTACTCCGGAAAGGAACGAGGCCGCCCCGGCCCTTAGCCCGCTCAGCCCGCCAGGCCGCCCCAGCTCACCGGTGTAGCCGTCGCGACAGAGGCAGGTGTAGCCGCCCTCGCGGCTGCGGCAGCGCCCGTGGGGGCCGCAGGGCCGCGAGTAGCAGAGGTCCACCTCGGTCTCGCAGTAGTCGCCCGTGAAGCCGGGTGGGCAGCGGCAGCGCAGCCCCCCGACCGGGTGGATGGGCCGGAAGAGCACCGAGGAGGAGGCGATGAAGGGCGCGGAGGAGTCGAAGCGCAGCACGGACACGCAGCGCATGTAGTTCTCGCAGGGCTCGCGCAGGCAGATGTTGTCGTCGAAGGGCAGCACGCGCTGGGCCGAGATGGCCGTGAGCAGGCTGCGGTTGAGGTACAGGCGCTCCTGCAGGTCCTCGGAGGGCAGGAAGGGCGGCCCGCCCCCGGGCCCCGGCGGCTGGCCCACGGACAGGCTCACATTGAGGATGTGGCCGCCAGGGGCGTCGGTGTCCCGCTGCACGTTGAAGACCACCACGTGGTCTGGGGGTGTGGCCAGCGTGGCCGCCACCGCCTGGATAAAGAGACCCAGTAGGGGTGACAGGAAGCGCTCCGGCGACATGTCCTCCAGGCGCAGCGTGATGCTGTGCGTGAGCATCTCATCCGTGATGATGGTGACCCGCAGTGCACACTGGGCAGTCACACTGTGCACGCCGTCTGCAGGGAAAGGACATGGGTCAGGACCTGATGTGGAGCTGGGGAGGGCAGGGGTGCCGAGCCATAGACCTAGCCCTGGGCAGGAGCACCCCGAGAAGGGAGTGGGAGCTGAGATCCAGCCCTGCATTGCCCAGTTGCCACAATGGACTCCCTTTTCTCACTGGCAAAAGGTGCCCAAGAAACTACGTGTATGGCACCTGTAGGCAAGTCACACCTTGAGGGATCAGGCCCCATAGACACTTAGGGCAATTTGATTTTCAGAAGTTCTCTTTGCATACTTTCCCAAAACCCTTCGTTGTGAAGAACGGTACATTTTTTAATGTTTGTGTGCTTCTCCCTGCCCAAGCCATGAGTCTTGCTCCCTTATACCAGATTTGGGGCTTCCCTGCACAAGAACCCGGTTTTGCCTATTTCTTATCTTTCTACAGGGGCCAGAGCACCAAGAGATATCCACAAAAATAATCATTCTTCCCCCTCGGCCTCTATATCTCAACACTACTATAACCCTGACCCTGGCTGTGCTCCCTCCTCCCCCACCAAAGCAGCGGGGGGGGTGAACTGGGTCAGTGGGCCACCCAGTCCCCCTCCCACTGAGCCCCATAGCTGCTTGGGCGCAGGCCTGCTATCCCCATAGCAACGCCCCACACAAAGCATTCTTCCCGCCCAACTCTCCAGGCTGCCGAAGATAGCCTGGCGGGGGCCTCACCCCAGGAAATCCAGCTGAGCCACCTTACCAGAGGCCGCACCACCCATTGCCCTGATGCTGTTGGGGGGCGGGCAGAGATGGAAGGGCCTGGGCAGCTCTCCAATCTGAAACCCCAGAAGAGCCCCACTAGGCTGATCTCTCCTCTGGCCTTGGGCCTCCAGCTATTCATCGCCCACTTGGCTCACACGTTATGCCCGAATGCCTGCCACACCTGCAGGCTGGACGCTCACTTACAAACAGCTGGACGCTCACACACACTAGTGTCTCACTCCACCCACACGCTCCGCCCAGAAGTACCACACACACCTGAATGCACATATACATGGCAATGGATTTTATTTAGCTCAGAAAAGAAAGCTGGAGGCCAGTGGGGAGGGGGAAATGGCTTGGCAGGGCCCTAAAGGGTATTCATATTTTTATTTATTACAATGTCCTACACATAGTAGGTGTTCAGTAAATACTAAGATGTTGATGTCTCCCTAGTGAAGAAATGGTCTTTAAAACACAGTGGGGGTGGGGTGGGGGGCACCTGGGTGGCTTAGTCGGTTAAGCATCTGCCTTCAGCTCAGGTCATGATTCCAGGGTCCTGGGATCAAGCCCCACATTGGGCTCCCTGCTCAGAGAGAAGTATGCTTCTCCCTCTACCTCCCTCCCCCAACTTGTGCTCCCTCTCGCTCTCTCTCAAATAAATAAATAAATAAAATCTTAAACACACACACACACACACACACACAGCAGGGGCCCTGAGTTGATATTGAAAAGGACCCCCTGGCAGGAACGGGTCAGGAGATGGTGTTTCTGGGGTGGGGCGGGAGTAGGAGAGGAACCTGGGGGTAGATTCTGCTTCCATACATATTTGAGGTGGCTAACTACCCCAGGCAGCTCAGTTGAGCCTGGGAAGGCTGAAGGCAGAGACCCATCTCAGCCCTGTCCTTGGTCCACCCACCTGCCCTCCAGCCTCATCACCTGAGGCTGCCAAAGCCCGCCAGCTCTCACCAGCAAGCTTGCTTGTCATTACCCACTCCTGCTCCTCCCACTCCTGTCTATAGCCACCGAACATGCCAGCCCACAGTCCTCCTACTTCTCTCACCTGCCCCAAGCTCACCTACTCCAGGAAGCCTGCCCAGATTGATGACCTCAGGCTCTATTTTCCTCCTGCTTTCAGACCACCCTGCACTGAGGTGTGGCCTGGCACAGAGCTCTTGTGTACTTGGTGACTCTGCCCAGTGATTCCTTGATGGGAGAGTCCCTCCAGGCAGAAAGTGGCCCCAGAGTCCACACAGTGCCCCTAACTGATTAGGGAAAGGAGGGGGGCAGTCAAAGCCCATGAGCGAGAGAAACCTCCCCACCACTCAGCCCTGGGAACAAGCACTCCTCCCTGTGCCTCCCCTCAGCAGTCCCAGGCCCCGCCCATGCCCCTCACCCAATGTGTCTCTGTTGCTTCCCATCTGGTCTACCATCTGTGGCCACCTGCCCCCTCCTCTGTGGTCCCCCATCCCCAGCAATCAACCTACTGCTCAGTCCTTGCTCTTTGTTCCTCTCCCCTGCCTTGACCTAGGTCACCCCTCAGGTGCCAAGGCAGGGTGGGAACAGGGGTCCCAGGTCCCAGACTGTGGCAGAATCAGACTCCAAGCCTCTCTCCCCTGGCAGATGTGCCAGTGGAAGCTGTGGGCCTGGACAGGGTCTACCGCTCTGGGAGCTGACCGGGCCATGCACAGGAGTTCCTGTGTGTCCCAGCAGGGTAAGAAAGAGGCAGGGAGAACTGGGGCTTCAGGAGAGCCATCCAGCCCAAGCGGGGGCAGCTTCAGCCACAGGGAACAAGAGAGGGGGAAGGCAGAGAGGCAGGAACGTGGAAACTAAACAGGGGAAAACAAAGATCCAGGAAAAGAGCCAGCAATGGAGAAAGTGGGAAAGGAGGAGAGAGCCACACAGGAGATCGGGAGAGGGCCACGGAGAGGGGCAGAGCAGGAGGGCCCCCATGGGCAGGGGCAGGGGCAGGAAAGAGAGACAAAGAACAAGAGAAGGGAAACAAAGGGGCAGTGGGAGTCAATTCCCCCTCACCGCAGCCTCCCTGAACTTTGGGGTTGCCGTGGTGACTGCTTCCAAGGGTCAGGGCCGAGGGGACAGGATGGGGCCAGGGCTAGAGGGCCAGCCCGAGGCCTTCCCTTCTGTTCTAGGGGAGCTGTGGTCAGGGGCCCTGCCCTGGTAGGAGCCTGAAGGCTGGGCAGGGCCTCCTCAGTGTCCTGCCACTCTCACCCAGGACAGGCTGTGGGGAGGACAAGAGGAAGAGCCCCTTCTTTTCCATCCCTCCCCGCTGCTTGCTTCTCCCAACACAGAGAAGGAACGAGGATCCAGGAACTCCAGCCCTTCACTTCCTCCTGGAGGGAAACTGAAGCCTCAGGAGGCACAGAACCTTGTCTATGACCTCTAAAACCTCACCTGCCCGGGCTCCTATGGCCACCTGAGGAGTGGGGCAGGAGACGCATCTGTCCAGGAAGGACCCAGAGCAGGGGAGGGGGCTGAAGCCACACCCTGCATCCCACATGTCTCTCATTCCCCTCCAGGCCCAGATTCCCTGGGGTGACAGGAAAGGGGTGCCAGACTCTTCTCTTCTTCCCCTCCCTGATGTGTCTGGAGTGGGGTACCCTGGCCCATCCATCTGCAGGGTACCCCTAACAAGGGGCCCTCATGGGGGTTGCCAGTCGTTCCCAAGCTTGGGGAAGGGACTCCACAACCTGGGGCTGGCCTCCTCCTTGCCACTCCCCATAGCTGACAGAGAAGACAGAATGCCGCCCACCCCCCATCAACTCTCCTCCCCCAACCCTCTGTCCAGGGAGTCTGCAGGCTGAGCGCTTGGCCAAGCAGCAGGAATGCCCAGCCTGGGTCCCGGCCAGGCTCCCACGCCCCAGGACTCTGTTCTCTCCCCACCGGAGCAGGGGGCTGTACCCTCAAAGGCCACCAGTCCCCTGGCTCATCCTGGTCCCACACCCCATTCCCTGAGCCCAGACTGGTCACAGCCCGCAAAGAAGGCCTAGCATCCTAAAACAGCCCATGGGGTGGCAAGCGGCCCTAGGAGGCCTCAGCCTGCCCCTGGCTTCACTGCAGCCCCTCCCCCAAGCTGGACCCCGAACCATGGCCTCTGACAGTGGGGTCTGTTTGGACAGAGACAATGAGCTCGGGCTTCACTTCCTGCGGGAGCTCTGAAGGGATAGCCAGGCCAGGCTCTTTCTGCCTGGAGGGAAAAGAATGCACTAGACAAAGTCCCCCTCAGCCAGTCTGGGGCTCAGCCGGGAGCCAGAAGGGGCCAGAAGAGGCCCGACTGCAGGGTCCTGACCCCTCGGCGGCAACCCTGTGCCCCATGGCCCTCTGCTCTGTCAGAAGGCTGTTATGAGATCACAGGAATAGCCTGCTGGGCACGAAGAGGTGCTGAGGGGACTGGCTCGCCTCCCCCCCACCTCCCCCCACACCCCACACCACACCACAGTCCTCTCCACCCCTCCCCCAGCTCTCCCGGACCCCCCAGTCTTCCACGCGCCTTTTTTCACAATCTTGGCAGCCATAGCCAGGGCCACCCCGCAACACTTCCCCTGCCACGTCACAGGGTGGTAGGCAGGGGGCAGCCAACCAAAGCAGCCCAGCCCAGGCCGCAGCGGCAGGCGGGGCCTACACCAGCTGCCAGGATTCCTAGGGCTCCTTCCCAAGCTCCTTCTCGCCCCTCAGCCTCTGTGCCAGGCACTGGGCAGACAGGCGGGTCAGCGGTTCCTCCTTGGACAGCTGCCCGGGCCCTCCCCCAAGGGCCACCCCCGCCCGACGCCACCTGGGCCCTTCCTTACCTGACACCAGCACGCTCATGATGGCCTCCAGAGGACGGTTGTTGTCCAATGCCCGGCTCAGCCTCAGTTCGCCCGTCGAGGCATTGAGCAGGACCAGGCTGAGTTCATTCCCCCGCTCAAAGCTGTAGGTCAGGCTGTCTGAGATGTCAGGGTCATGGGCGGGCACGCGGCCAATGGCACCCCCAGGGAAACTGCTCGAGCGGTTGGTGACATAGTTGTTGAAAAGAATCTCAAAGTTGCCCAGCACCGGTGGGTTGTCGTTGCGGTCAAGCAGGCGGACGTGGACTGTAGCCCGGCTCACCAGCGGAGCCGACGTGGCCTGGATGACCAGGATGTATTCGGGCCGGTCCTCGTAGTCCAAGTCCACCAGAGCCGTCAACTCCCCAGAGAAGATGTCCAGTTGGAAGACCTCAGGGATGTTGCCCTCCACGATCTGGTACATGATCTGGGCATTGGTGCCTTCGTCGGGGTCGGTGGCTGTGACGCGGGCCACGGCCAGCCCAATGGGGCTGTTCTCTTCCACAAACACGTCAAACTCGTCCTGCTCGAAGACAGGTGGATTGTCGTTCACATCCAACACGGTGACCGTCACTTCCATGGGCGTGCGGGCCGGAGGCATCCCCTTGTCCACCGCATAAGCCTGCAGAACGTACTGGGCCACGTTCTCACGGTCTAGCCTCCGAAGCGTTCTCACAATGCCTGACGTGGACTCCACGATAAAGTCACCATCTCCATCGTCGCCCCCTTGGAAGGTGTAGAAGACCCTGCCATTAAGGCCAGAGTCACGGTCAGTGGCTGAGATCTGCAGGACACTGGTGAAGGGGGGCACATCCTCATAGACGCTGCCCTGATAGGACTCACGCAGGAACTGAGGGGCATTGTCATTCACATCGTTCACCAGGATCTCCAGGTAGGTTGTGTCAGACTTCTGGGGAATGCCATTGTCGCGGGCGGTGATGGCCAGGGTATAGGACACTTGGTCCTCATAGTCTAGCTCAGCCTGGGTAGTGACAGCCCCTGTGTCTGCATCAATGCGGAACTGGGGGATGCTGTCCTCCATAAAGTAGGTGATGCGGGCGTTCTCGCCCGTGTCCTCGTCCGTGGCACTGATCAGCACCACCGTGGTGCCTGCCGGCCGGTCCTCATTCACATTCACCGTGTAGTGGGAGCTCTGAAAGACGGGACGATGGGTGTTGGCGTCAGTGACGTTCACTACCACCTGGGCCGTGTCCTGCCGCGTGCCATCGGAAGCAGTGACCGCCAGCACATACTGCCGCTCGAGCTTGTAGTCCAGCGGCAGGGCGAGCGACACCAGCCCGCCACCGCTCTGGCTGGTGATGGAAAAGCGGTTGCGGGTGTTGCCGCTGGTGATCTGGTAGGTGATGACGCTGTGCGCGTCGCGGTCCACAGCCGACACCGTCACCACGCTGGTGCCCACGGCCGCATCCTCGTTGAGTCTCACCGTGTACTCTGGTTGGGTAAAGGTGGGGTTGTTGTCGTTGACGTCCAGGATGGTCACGCTGACGCTGGCTGAAGCAGTGAGCACTGGGGTGCCGTGGTCTCGGGCTTCCACCCCAAAGCTATAGAAATCAACCTCTTCCCGGTCCAGCTCGGCTGCCACAGAGATCCAGCCTGTGCCGTTGTTGATGGCAAAGGGGAAGTCATGCCCAACCCCAGCAAGGCGGTATTCCAGGCGGGCATTGTCACCAGCATCGGCGTCGATGGCCTGGACGTGGAGAACCAGGTAGCCTAAGGGGACACTCTCCAGCACAGTAGCCTGGAAGGGGGTGCTGACAAAGATGGGGGCATTGTCGTTGATATCCAGGACCTGCACCGTCACCAGGCCAGAGACGTTGGAGAGCGGGGGGCGGCCGCCATCCTGTGCCCGGACCCGTAGGGTATACTCCTTGGTCGTCTCATAGTCGAGCGGGCTCACCACGTCCAGAGCCCCAGTCTGGGCATCCAGGTAAAACTGGCCCCGAGCATTCCCGCTCATGATGCTATAGTGCACTAGGGCGTTACTGCCCTTGTCTCTATCCGAGGCTGTGACCCGGAGGACCGGGGCCCCCGGGGTCACATCCTCGCGCACCTGGACCACGTAGCGCTTCTCGCTGAACTGAGGGGCATTGTCGTTGTCATCCTCCACAGACAGGAACACAGCGGCTGTGGCACTCCGTGGACCAGGGTCCCGACCCTGGTCACTTGCCTCCACCGTCAACTGGTAGGATTCTACTTCTTCCCTATCCACAGGGCCACGCGTTCGGATCACCCCAGAGCGAGGGTCAATCTCAAAGACTTCTGAGGCGCTGCCTCCAGGCCCCTCCAATAGGCGGTACAGAATATTGGCATTGGGAGGGGCATCACCATCCGTGGCTCTGACAGTGAGCACCTCATAGCCAACCTCCAGGTTCTCCCTGAGGCTCTCCTTGTACTCCTGTTGCTCGAAAACGGGGTCGTGATCATTGGTGTCAGTCACCAAGATGGTGAGTGTGGCCAGGGCACTCCGGCGGGGCATGCCATGATCCTGCGCCGTGACCCTGAAGACATGGGTGCTCTTGGTCTCACGATCCAGCTCCTCGGCTGTGGTTACAGCGCCCGTGATTGGGTCCAGAGAGAAGAAATGTTTGGAGCGGCTATCAAAGAGGGCATCCATGGTGTACTCAAGCCGGCCTGCCTCACCCTCATCTGGGTCAATGGCCTGCAGGGATGCCACAGGGGTACCCGCTGGCTGGTTCTCAGGCACGCTGGCCTGGTAGCTGGGGGGCTGGAACTGGGGGGCTGTATTCACATTCCTTTTCCGACGCCCGCCCATGGACTCTTCTGTTGACCGTTCCCCTGCCCTGAGCCCTGGGGTCTGCACCAGCTTGCAGGACTGGCATCTCAGCCGGGGAGCCTTTAAGCACGGGTGTTCCTGGGGCAGGGTGAGCTTGCCCTGTGGGGAGAGGTGGCCTCCAATGCCCAGGAGGCGACAGCTCCATGGGCAGCCTTCGGGGGCTGGCGGCAGAGGGATGTGGGCTCCGGATTCTGGACACCAGACCCTCAGACCGTCGTGGTGGGGCACCAGGTGGCCAGTCAGCTCTGTCCCTGCATCCCTGCAGTGGCTGCTGTAGAGCCAGAGGTTGGAGGCCGAGGCTGGACAGAGCCAGCCCGCGGGGGCGCAGGCCTCTGAGGAACCACGTCCCCCGGGACCCAGGGAACGACAGGGCCCCACTTGGTCTCCCAGCAGTGGCGGCAGCAGCAGCAGCAGCAACAGCGGCGGCGGTGGCGCTGGAAGGGGGGCGCGGGCTGCCCGGCTCTGCATCTCTCCCTGCTCCCGGCCGGCCGGGTCAACTGCGGCGGCGGCTCCTCCTCC